CTACAACTTGTCCTCTGGAGGACCACATAGCATTTTAACGTATAAGTCCCCTAAGGCCAAAAATTGATGTATTACAAATCACAACGTCTCACAAAATTGAGGTGATGTCCAGTTTTCTATTCGTGGGCCCTCGGGTAGGTTAGGTTCGGGCAATTTAGTGGATTAGTTTAGTGAGGGTATGAACGCTGGAGAAGACGGTGAGGTTGCTTGGGTTCGTACAGTCCTGGCTGGGCAAAAAGGTTGTATTTGTTACGGAGTGGTAAAGAGAGAGAGAAGGAGTGCTTTAAGAACGCTGCTATACGATATGCTGAGACTTGTGAGGCGAGGAGGCTTACAGGTGATCTGGAGTGGTTACCATGTGTGCGTATATTGCCTCACGCAAGGTACCGTGTGTGCGTAGCGTCACGCAAGGTACCGTGTGTGTGTTGCGTCACGCAAGGTACCGTGTGTGTGTGTTGCGTCACGCAAGGTACACGTTCTTCATACTGTGCTCCTTGTGCTCCTACTGGAGGTGGTACTGAACAAGTGGATGACTGGCATATCATAGGGGATATTGATGGTGTATTACATGTATCAACATAAGCAGGTTCTTGCAGCTGCTTGTGTGTCTAAGACTTGGTCACTGGTCCTGTCTCTGTGTTGGCTCGGGGTCTTGAAGTGGTAGAATGTAGTTATGTCTTAACTGGTTGTTGATTGTTGGTCTGGACTTGTAGATGTGTAGCGCCTCGCTCATGTCCAGTCTTCTGCTGTCGATATACCTGTCGATTAGTTCAGTGTTGCTTGATAAGATGTCTCGTGTGATGGTCTGGTTGTGTGAGGAGATTATAAGCTCCTTGATGGAGCCCTGTTGCTTGTGCATTATTAATCACCTAGAGAGAGAGAGACGTTGTTGTCTTGCCTATATACTGAGATCTTTGGGGCTGACAGTCCCCAAGTGGGTTTGTGTTAGACGTTGGTCTCTCTTAAGGCGTTCTGTTCGGCGTCGGGAGAGTTCTTCATAAGTAGGTTGGCAGTTTTCTGGTTTGTGTAATATATTGTAAATTGTATCTTCTGATTGTTGTCTGTAGGGATAACGTTCCTATCAATAATATATTTTAGGACTCTTTTCCTTCATTTTGTAAACCGTGGAAAAGAAGTTGGTGTAAAACAGTGTGATGGGAAGGTAGAGATGTGGTGTTGGCTGCTTCTTCATGGGTTGCATGGCGTCTCACCTTTCTTTTAATGACGCCTTCAACGTAACGTTCAAGAAGTCATTATTGACTAGCATCTGCCTGCTTGGAAGCAGGTCGACGAGGAACTATGTAGAGGGAGGCAGGTGATAGTTAATAATGGCTTCTCCAACGGTTACGTTCAAGACGTCATTAAAAGACAGGTGACACCCCATCTTTAATTGGAGCACCCACCACCACCACCACAATGCTTGACAACTGTGTACGAACACCCACCACCACCACCACAATGCTTGACACCTGTGTATGAACACCCACCACCACCACCACAATGCTTGACAGCTGTGTACGAACACCCACCACCACCACCACAATGCTTGACAACTGTGTACGAACACCCACCACCACCACCACAATGCTTGACACCTGTGTATGAACACCCACCACCACCACCACAATGCTTGACAGCTGTGTATGAACACCCACCACCACCACCACAATGCTTGACAGCTGTGTATGAACACCCACCACCACCACCACAATGCTTGACAACTGTGTATGAACACCCACCACCACCACCACAATGCTTGACAGCTGTGTATGAACACCCCCCACCACAAGGCTTGACAGCCGTGTATGAACACTCACCACCACCACCACAAAGCTTGACAGCCGTGTGTGAACACTCAGCACCCCCCCCCCCCCCCACAAGGCTTGACAGCCGTGAAGGTACAGAGAGTCAGTTTTCACCAGACAAATGTTTGTTTACAAAGAGAGCGGAGCCGCCGCTGCCGCAGCTTACAATAACCAACAAAGTAATGTACACCGAGAGATATTTGTCTTCAGTGAAATTGGATTACGTAACAAAGGCGGTCATTCACTACCCTAAATACCTTTGGAGTCACAACAGGAAAATGTTAAACTTCTCACCTTCATCTTTCTTCTTGTCTTATATTGCCTCGCGTCTCTCACTCCTGCTCAGTCACCCCTTGGTAACGGTCAAGGACGGACCCCACTGGAGTCCGTCCGTGACCCCACTGGACGGACACTCCAATGGGGTCGGCAGCTTCTCTCCCATATCCAATGGGCACAATATCCCAGTGGCTCTGGTTGGAGGTTGAAACAACGCTACTCGTGGACATGGTCCCCACTGGTAATGTGTGGGTTGTATATATATGTTAAAACAGGAATTTATTCTTCAAACTTGATATGCGAGGAAATAAAACAAGAGGACACACCTGGAGACTCACAATGGACACGAGACATAAGTAAGTACTCGGCGGCCGACCTCTTCACACAACCTCACGAGCCTCAAACTGGATATGGTTTAGTTTAACCTGAAGCGTACCAACCCACACAACCCACCTAACCTATTGCAGCTTTCCAAGTGCAAATTCAGATAATTAAGCCAATTATGAGACCCAACAGACGACTGAGTTAAGAGACACATACATCAACATGTGACTGGCAACCCGTCCTCCAGCCCAAGATGTAACTCAAGGGCTTAGTTTGTACTGAGTTACTACTCAGTCTTACATACTGTATAATAAACGATTTTTCTGAAGTATTAATTAATATTATTTAATATTGTGGGTTTATGTAGAGTTAAGACTAGGTTATGTAGAGATAGGATGTAGAGTTAGGACTAGGTTATGTAGAGTTCGGTCTAGGTTATGTAGAGTTAGGACTAGGTTATGTAGAGTTCGGTCTAGGTTATGTAGAGTTTGGTCTAGGTGAGGTGTTTGGTTACGGAGGTCTGGGGTGTTCACACACTTGGACGAGCACAGACCGAGAATATGCTGTGTATAAACTGTTTTAAATTCGTTAACAAGGGTTTTTTCTGGAGGATTAACGAGCACATGGCCATTGGTTATGAGGGCGGCAGTCCGTCCTCGTAAACAAAGACAGAAGCCTCGTTATTCCTGGCGCCAAAGCCATTGTTTATGAATGTAAAACACTGGACAACTCCACTAATGATCTAACACTACTCGAAAACCGCTCTTCGAATCGTCACTCTGTAAATGATTTACACATGTAAATACAAATAATTGCCAACAGAACCTAAACACCTAACCTAATTTTTGGTTAGGTGTTTAGGATCCACCACCACCACATAACCACAGAACATCCACCACCACCCCAGTACCACAGAACATCCACCACCACCCCAGTACCACAGAACATCCACCACCACCCCAGTACCACAGAACATCCACCACCACCCCAGTACCACAGAACATCCACCACCACCCCAGTACCACAGAACATCCACCACCACCCCAGTACCACAGAACATCCACCACCACCCCAGTACCACAGAACATCCACCACCACCCCAGTACCACAGAACATCCACCACCACACCACCACAGAACATCCACCACCACCACCACAGAACATCCACCACCACCACAGAACATCCACCACCACACCACCACAGAACATCCACCACCACCACCACACCACCACAGAACATCCACCACCACACCACCACAGAACATCCACCACCACACCACCACAGAACATCCACCACCACACCACCACAGAACATCCACCACCACACCACCACAGAACATCCACCACCACACCACCACAGAACATCCACCACCACACCACCACAGAACATCCACCACCACACCACCACAGAACATCCACCACCACACCACCACAGAACATATACCACCACACCACCACAGAACATACACCACCACACCACCACAGAACATCCACCACCACACCACCACAGAACATCCACCACCACACCACCACAGAACATCCACCACCACACCACCACAGAACATCCACCACCACAGAACATCAACCACCATACACCTACAGCACGTCAGCGGACACTAACATAACGATAATTTGCATAGTTATCTCTGGTGGTGATTAACAAAGTTGCCATTAGCGAGAAAGATGAAAATGAAGCTGGTCATTAATCACACTGTGTGTTATCGTGGGAGGCAGAGCTGTCATCACCTACCAGCCCGCGCCCCTGGTGGCTGGCCAGCACCTGCCAGCCCGCGCCCCTGGTGGCTGGCCAGCACCTGCCAGCCCGCGCCCCTGGTGGCTGGCCAGCACCTGCCAGCCCGCGCCCCTGGTGGCTGGCCAGCACCTGCCAGCCCGCGCCCCTGGTGGCTGGCCAGCACCTGCCAGCCCGCGCCCCTGGTGGCTGGCCAGCACCTGCCAGCCCGCGCCCCTGGTGGCTGGCCAGCACCTGCCAGCCCGCGCCCCTGGTGGCTGGCCAGCACCTGCCAGCCCGCGCCCCTGGTGGCTGGCCAGCTCCGCTAACTCCCACAATGGTGCAAACATTACATTCCCCATTTTAAATGCTTATTACGTAATTTATACTGAGATGTTTACAATATTGACCCTTAAGAGGATAATAATAACAAGAATATTATTATTATTGTTTAATAATAAAGGTAACAATATATAAACATATCCGGACTCTAATACACTGAAGAAAGGTTTGAGTATTTTTCATACTCGGAAAATGTAAAATGTATATGGTCCAACACTCACGTACATGCAAGTATGTGTATGAACTCACCCTCATGTACCTTTGAATGTGTGTATGTAATTACCCAAGTGTAATTACTTAACTGTAGTTACAGGATGAGAGCTACGCTCGTGGTGTCCCGTCTTCCCAGTACTCTTTGTCGTATAACGCTTTGAAACTACTGACGGTTTAGGCCTCCAACACCTTGCGTGTGTGTGTGTGTGTGTGTGTGTGTGTGTGTGTGTGTGTGTGTGTGTGTGTGTGTGTGTGTGTGTGTGTGTGTGTGTGTGTGTGTGTGTTCTCACCTAGTTGTGCTTGCGGGGGGTTAAGCTCTGTTTGAGTAAAGTTAAACAATTATTTATGAATAGTGTAGAAAATGGTTATCATTCATTAGCTGGAGATGAAGCTACCGGATTAACGACCATTTGACCAATGTTCACAAGGGGCAAAATCTAAATATCAAATTCTAAATACGAGTTGATAGTTGTTGTTTAAGATTCGCCACCCAGAACAAAAAGTTGCAAGTAGCACGGGCTATGGTGAGCCCGTAAGAGTTGACAGTTGTGGTGAGGTTCAGTCAAGTATACTAAGCTGGTCTACTTCTTGGGCGGCAGGTTCGAGGTACTCGTTGAGGTCTCCACGCCGCGCCCCCAGCACCCACAGGCCGCCCGCGCCCTCCTCCCTCCTACACCCACGGCACCACCGGAAAATATGTTAGTTCTCACAACGACACCAGTGTTGTTGTTGTTTAAGATTCGCTACCTGGAACAAAAAGTTGCAAGTAGCACGGGCTATGGTGAGCCCGCAGTGGACTTACGACACCAGTCCTCGCTGGAACATAGCCCACCCTAGCAAGCGTTTTGCACACTACTCCTCTAATTATTTCAACTGTAATATATATCTTGGCAAAGCTGGATTAGGTTAGTCTTTAGGTTAAGTTGGATTAGTTTAGTCTTAAGGGTAGGCTGTACCATGTTAATCTTTGGATTAGGTTAATCTTTATGCTAAGCTAGATTATGTTAGTCTTTAAGCTAGGCAAGAAAGTTCGTCTTTCAACCCATCCTCCTGTTTAGATAGTAGTTTTCGTAATTATGTGGACCATAGTACGAAGATTGACGTACGAGGCAATTATATAGTAGAATTTGGTACTATTCACTTTATAGTCCGAAAAAATAAAGCTAAAAAGTAACGTAAATATTGCTAAGCTTATTATAGCACACATATTTATGCCTCAGATATCGTGTATTAGGCCTCGGAAGGTTGGTTATTTTAGTTTGTCTTTGCAACATATATATATATAAATCTTTTCCTGTTTGTCCAAAGTCAAGAGTACCGATTTCTACTTTCTATTTGCGTTGTACGTCTGTATATGTACTATGATCCTCGTCGTCACTATAAGTACTACCAAAACAGGAGGATAGGCTGCGTCTTTAGGCTAGGCTGAATTAGGTTAGTTAAGAGATTCAATCCCTGGTCAGCTGAAGAAGCCCACGGCGTCATCATGCAACAGATCAGTCAAGAAAATCATTCGTTGACAATCTACATGATAAAAATAGGGGACAATAAACCATGAACACAAACTCACGTTTGCAACAGCTGATCAAGCTACTGAAGCAGAGAAAACGTATTTAAATGATTCGACATCACTTTCACACCGTCCCAGATCCCAGGAAGAGACACCTCAAGCTTAAGCCGTGCTTCAAGTGCTTTGAATGTCGTCATTACACAAACAAACACCCCAAACAAGAAGGAAGATGCAGCATATGCTCGGACAATCACTACTACAAGATGTGTTCTCAAACCATTAGAAAATTGTCCTTGGTAACCCTTAAAATTGATAGACTTTAAGCTAATCGTCTAGACCAAACTATCATTACATTGTCATAAAATTTACCCTTGTGATTGCTGGAAAAGTAATGTAGGACACGACCATGTCGAATCTCAGAGAGCCCTCACCATGCTGCGATTGTAATTGAATACACTGAGGTAATAATTATCAAAAGAAGGCACCAAGCCGGGAAGGCTATGTAAAAGTAACTACGAACTTTCATAAAAAGAATACTTTGTCAGGGATTCCAAACCGCAGATTTGGGGACCAAATAGTAGGACTAATACACTAAATATGTGAACTATATAAAAAAGTTGTCATTAGATTAGAATTAACATCAGTTATCAATACGGACTGAGAAGGGGAGGCTGCTAACCAATCAGCTATCAATAAAGAGTAAGGCGTTGAAGCCACCAACCAATCAGCTATCAATAAAGAGTAAGGCGTTGAAGCCGCCAACCAATCAACGGTGTGAACACCGAACACACACGTCTCCACTTGCCAGTATTGCCAGATGATGTGCTAGGATGGTCGGGGGCGTTGCCTTAGGCTACCCGCCCCTTATATACGCCCTCTTATTACTACAAGTTTACGGGCTCACCATAGCCCGTGCTACATGGACTCTTCGTCCTCAGTAGCTAAATCTGAAACAACAACAACATACTACAAGCCATTGTCTATTTAGAAATAAGACCATTTTGGTCTCAAATAGTCTTTGAAACAATCATAAAAGAAAATATTTAACCTTATTTGTCCTTTTTCTATAAATACATATGGAAAACAAGAGGTTGCAAGGTAGTCAGTCAGTGTAGCTCACAACCGGAAAGTCCCGGGTTCGATTCCCACGGCAGGGCAGATGAACGTTTCTTTTCACCTCATGCCACCGTTCATCTAGCCGTAAAATGTTATCAGCGTTGTTATCAGGTCACAAAAATGTTAATGCAAAATGTTATCAGGTCACAAGTCACGTGTGGGTTGCACCCTGGGTGGGGGAGGTCGGGTAAGAAGGGACCTCTATACACCTACAACAGGGAAGTATTACTTAATAAGCAAGCGATGAGTCACAATAACGTGGCTGAAGTAGTTTGACCAGACCACACACTAGAAGGTGAAGGGATGACCACGTTTCGGTCCGTCCTGGACCATTCTCACAATAGACTTGAGAATGGTCCAGGACGGACCGAAACGTGGTCGTTCCTTCACCTTCTAGTGTGTGGTCCGGTCAAAGTATTACTTACTGGGAGACGTAGGTGAGGGGCGTGGTGGTGGTGTGGGGCCAGGCGCTCATGCTGTCAGTGAGCCGCAGGTCGGGCACCGTCCTGCACATCAGCCCCGAGCCCTCGTACACTACACCTGCAGCACCAGTACAGTGTGAGTGAGGGACAGTGGTAGCTCTCCACCCCTGGCTATAACTCCAGTAGTCTCTCACACCTCGCCGCCCCCAGTGTTGACACTGTGACTCTTGTTTTCCTTGCAACTGAACTTCACAAGTTAATGTACGAGCCACTTTTGCACATCAATGATAATCCTCGTTATTGTAATAATAATCCTAAAGTTAGCATATAGTTGTAATGATACGTATAATATTATTATTGGTTTATGGATATATTGTAATGAGATTTATTGTAAACTTAATTCTAACTGTTCAACCATTTATGAGTAACATTTGGGATTGGATTTGACATCAACAAGCTTTCCTCAGGGTCAGCCAGCGGCCGACCTCAAAGTCGCATTCATTAATTTTAACATGTTCATACAAAATAGTAATTTTCTCAAATATAAAATATTTTGTCAGTATATTGTACACATTTAGGAGTAGGTTAGGTTCTATTGGACATTATCTGTATTTGTAGTACATTGCTGAAGCATTTACAAATAAGCGATTCGAACAGAGGTCGTCAGCGAAGCAATGTTCGAACCTCATCAGTTGTGAGTCGTGTGTAATGGGTTTTTATTCATAAAATGGTAAGTTGGCGGCTGGATTAACGAGCATCTGGCCATTGTTTATGAGGACGGGCTGGATATGCATCAAGATGTTAATGAAAATAATTGAAACTTGGATTTGTACCTGATATGGGAGTCTTTTTCTTCGAGCGGGAGGGTCGCTGGCCGAAGCCGTCCTCACCATGCTGGTAGTGCAGCTGCTGCAGCTGTTGCTGCTGTTGCTCCTCGTGCTCCAGGGCAACCTTGCCCCTGAAGAGCCTCGTCACCTCAGTGTGTATCACCGGCCGGTCCCTCCGGCGGAACACAATCCACACCAACAACTCCGCCAGCTCGTATAAGCGTTCGAAGATCTCGTTGTCTCGGGCTCCATAACTCTGAAGGCTTCGTCCTCGCTGCGTCCAGCACACGGTCAGTGCATATATCCTACCTAATACCCACAGTTGCCTAACAAGTCCAATTTTCGTGAAATATTTAATTTTTCAAAAATTTCTTTTTGTGAAATGGTAAAGTTTGCTATGTATGATTACAATTTTGTTATTTGAGTCAAAATTAACAAATAAATTTGATCAAACCTAACCTAACCTATCCAAACCTAACATAACTAAGACAGTAATTCATGTTCCTAATAAAACATATTATTATTTTTAGAAAAGAACCAATCTGGAAAGAAATATTTGAAAAGAACGAAAATCATTTGGCCTGCTACGCAAATGGGACCTTGCATGCTAGGTCAAGTAGTGCGGTTCTGGCTGTTAGGCACAACACACATATAACCTGAAGGTTCCTTATGACATGCAGCAAAAAACACATCCATAGGACACTATATATCAGAAACATAATGAAGTCATAATAACGCAATATAGCTATTCTCAGAAGATTTTCACCTATCACGCCCTCATTCAGCCTTATTCATATTTATTCATCCTGTAGCATAGTAGTCTACGTCCTCAGCTCACACTCAAGGGACCCAGATTTACTCCCAGGGCAGGATGTGATGACTGACATTAATATATATTGATTACCTATTTAGTATGTTGATTACATGTATTTTCCAATTATTTGCATTATTGCAAAATTGCCCAGTAGCGGTTGGGCACTTTTCCATTCACTTGATGCTGCTGTTCACCTAGCAGTAAATAGGAACCCGGGAGATAGGCAACTGTTGTGGGTTGCATGGCGAGGAATGTCAGCAGTTGTCCTAGGGAGGGGGGGGGTCTCAGGGAACATAGGGACACCTGTGGTGTTCTACACCTCACCTGTGGTGTAGAACACCACAGGTGAGGTGTTCAGTACTAAGGTATACTCTGGTGGTCAGTAAACTGTTGTCGTGGCTCTAGTACCCATCCGGGGGATGATAGTGCAATGGACACAATGGAAATATACATGTTATAACATGGCTGATTTAATTAAGTTAAAAGGGTAAAAATTAATTATAGATGTGCAATCTGCTGGATCAAATAAATTAATATTATTGGATGTGCACAGTCTATAATATCGCGTCACTCGCTGGAAAATCAGATTGACAATATTGTTCAAACATCCATGAACGATAAGCTACTGAATTATTTTAAAGGACAATTTTGAAACAAATTAATAAAAATATTTGCACATAATTGCAACATAAACAAGAAAATATTCAAAGTATGGAAGTTTGTCCCTCATAAAGTGAAGAGTGCCGTGAGTCTCTCATGTTGACACTGAGGTAACTCACTCAGTGGTGGTGTGGGTCCTCACTCACAGTGATGGTGTGGGCCCTCACTCACAGTGATGGTGTGGGTCCTCACTCACAGTGATGGTGTGGGCCCTCACTCCTATTCTGTCTCTACTGTCTGCTCACAACACTTGTCTCATATACAGTTTTCAGGCTAAAGTCAACTTTGCCTGATGAGTATACACGGGGCATATCTCAACAGTCTCTTTGATTAAACGATTTTCTCTCTGAGACAAAGAACACTGACCTTCATGTGGTGGAGGTTGTTGAGGCCGTGACCTAGAATGACCTGACCATAGGTGGCAGCGAGGGGCTGTAGGACCCCCTCCAGGCGCTTCTTCCAGCGTTCCTTCAGCACCTTGGCGTTCCCTACGGCTGGGGGTTCGATCCCACGGATCAGGTCCGCTTGCAGGAACAGCTCGCGGAAGTACTCCACCAGCCCCCGCAAGAGCTCCTGCACCTGCCGGAGTAATAGCAATAAAACAGGTGACTCTCCTCTATATCTAGGGGGACCTGCAAGCATGTAATATACTGAATCTCATCCTGTGTGTGTGTTTACTAGTTGTGTTTACTAGTTGTGTTTTTACGGGGGTTGAGCTTTGCTCTTTCGGCCCGCCTCTCAACTGTCAATCAACTGTTTACTAACTACACTAACTACTTTTTTTTTCTTTTTTTTCACACCACACACACCCCAGGAAGCAGCCCGTGACAGCTGACTAACTCCCAGGTACCTATTTACTGCTAGGTAACAGGGGCACTTAGGGTGAAAGAAACTTTGCCCATTTGTTTCTGCCTCGTGCGGGAATCGAACCCGCGCCACAGAATTACAAGTCCTGCGCGCTATCCACTAGGCTACGAGGCCCCCATGTGTGTGTGTGTGTGTGTGTGTGTGTGTGTGTGTGTGTGTGTGTGTGTGTGTGTGTGTGTGTGTGTGTGTGTGTGTGTGTGTGTGTGTGTGTGTGTGTGTGTGTGTGTGTGTGTGTGTGTGTGTGTGTGTGTGTGTGTGTGTGTGTGTGTGTGTACTTACTACTGGTGCTTGCGAAATCTAGCTATTAGCTCTTGGCCCCTGCCTTTCTGACCGATCTACTTTTTCGTCTTTTAAATCTACTACACATATGTCTCTCTATCAAACACACACAGAGCCGGAAATCGGTCGGAAATCGTTCAGGACCCTGTATACCACTTATGTCAGACCAATCTTGGAATATGCAGCGCCAGCCTGGACTCCATACCTAGTTAAACACAAGACAAAGTTAGAGAAGATTCAGCGGTATGCCACCAGGATCGTCCCGGAACTAAGAGGAATGAGCTACGAGGAAAGGCTAAATGAGCTGAACCTCACGTCCCTGGAAAACAGAAGAATAAGGGGAGACATGATAACCGCCTACAAAATTCTCAGGGGAATTGACAGAGTGGACAAAGACAAACTCTTCAGCACGGGTGGGACACGTACAAGAGGACACAGGTGGAAACTTAGTACCCAGATGAGCCACAGACACGTTAGAAAGAATTTTTCAGTGTCAGAGTAGTTAATAAATGGAATGCATTAGGCAATGATGTGGTGGAGGCTGACTCCATACACAGTTCCAAGTGTAGATATGATAGAGCCCAGTAGGCTCAGGAACCTGTACACCAGTTGATTGACAGTTGAGAGGCGGGACCAAAGAGACAAAGCTCAACCCCCGCAAGCACAATTAGGTGAGTACACACACATCATCAGAATGCATCCCGTAGCAGCTGTCTATCTCCCAAGTACCTTCTTGCTTCTAAGTAAATAATGCCAACAGGAAAAAAACTGCCCATTTGTTTCTTCCTCGGCCGGAAATCGAATCCAGACCTTAAGCACTACGACCCCCGAGGCCCTGCATGTACTCAAGTTCAAGTATGTTTATTGAGACAAGAAAGAAATACATCTCAAAGGGGTAGAGTAGCTTAGGCTGCTCTAGTTGTGCTTGCTGGGGATAAGCTCTGGCTCTTTGGTCCCGCCTCTCAACTGTCAATCAACTGGTGTACAGATTCCTGAGCCTACTGGGCTCTATCATATTTACATTTGAAACTGTGTATAGAGTCTGCCTCCACCACATCATTGCCTAATGCATTTCACCTGTTAACTACTCTGACACTGAAATGGTTCTCTCTATGGCTCATCTGAGTACTCAGTTTCTGTGTCCCCCTGTGCGTGTGCCCCTTGTCTTAACTAAATTAGCATAACCCTTATGTTAATTTATTTAGAAATAAATAAATGAACCCCTTAGCAAATAAATTAACAAAGCATAGCACGCTATGCTTACTAGTGGCTTTACAAGAATGTAAGAACTCTTGTATATATAAATAAAAAAAATGGTCCCAAGACATATATTATTGCAAATATTGCATTATCCTAACCAATTCCGAGCCCAATTGTAAGGTGTACATGATGACCAATGCGTGAAGTGCTTCACAATACATGGTTACTGACCTTTGGCAGCCTGACCACGTCTAGGAACATCTTGGAGAAGGTGGTCTGAGTGGCCTGGAGGTGGAGGGCGACCTTGACACAATGCCTGAAGGTGACGGGAGCCGAGGGCTGGGACTCCCACTCCTCCGGGTCCAGCCGCCCATACTCCGCCTCCACCAGACGCTTCGACACCTGCAGCTGCCTTACCACCATCAACAACAACAACATCTTATTGACATATTACACTTCCAGAGAACTACATTACTCTGGTCAGCTTGGCTACAACCACTTGGGCTGGACGGTAGAGCGACGGTCTCGCTTCTTGGAGGTCGCCGTTCAATCCCCGACCGTCTAAGTGGTTGGGCACCATTCTTTCCCTCCCGTCCCATCCCAAATCCTTATCCTGATACCTTCCAAGTACTAAATAATGGTAATGGCTTGGCGCTTTCCCCTGGTGATTGCCTTACCGGGTCATCTTGGGCACAATGATCATTCAAAGTTAATCTGGCCGTCTGGAGAATATGTGAGAATGGACTTACATCAACTCTTATAACTATATTTAATTAAAGGTGATAATTATAGGGTAGGGTAGGGTAGAGGCAGCCTGTACCCAGCCTATATATGCGTTACAATTATATTAAGGTCCCCCGCCCCCCCAAAGGTGGAACTACTGACCGTCCCATATGATGCCCCCACAACAGTTGCCTAACTCCCACGTACCTATCTATTGCTAGATGCATTAGGTGAAAGGAAACATGGCCAATCGTTGACGTCTCGAGTCCAGGATTCCCGATTGTGAGTCGAGGTATTTACCTGTGCTAGAGGGAGTGCCACAGTATTTTGTCCTTTATTTGTCATTATTTAGATAATTTGTTTATTAGGTGCCGAGCGGACAGCACACTGGACTTGTGATCCTGTGGTCCTGGGTTCGATCCCAGGCGCCGGCGAGAAACAATGGGCAGTTTCTTTCACCCTATGCCCCTGTTACCTAGCAGTAAAATAGGTACCTGGGTGTTAGTCAGATGTCACGGGCTGCTTCCTGGGGGTGGAGACCTGGTCGAGGACCGGGCCGCGGGGACACTACAGCCCCGAAATCATCTCAAGATAACCTCAAGGTGTTGTCTTGAGTAGCAAGAGCTAGGATCACTGTCCATGTTGATCATTCTCTGTGATGCCCGTTATTAAACTCTTCTCTGCACAATATAGGTTTTCAAAATGTGTGTTAGCTTAATGGGAGCAACATGGCTGGAGGGAGTGAGAAGGAAATAGGAAGCGTGAAGCGATCATTCCCACTTTAGGGCACCAGCCACTTGGCCGCCAGCTTCCCGCCTCAGTACAGCATCATTAACACTTCCCAACGACCTGATGTGTGTGCAACGACAAGAAATGTTAACATTCGAGGTATAGAGTCCTCAGGCTTACCTGTTGGGGTGCTTCTGGCCCAGCTGGATGGAGAAGCGTCGGGAGGTGGACGAGGACGCCGACGGGCTGGCGGGCCGGCCATCTTGTCTGACGGGACAACCAATTTTCAGTTACTTTCAAATTCAAATTCAACTTTTTATTCAGGTAAAAGTACATACATTAATGAAGTAACAAACATAATGTTGGATTTATAGATAAAGCTAGTACATACAATACCTAAAGCCACTAATACGCATAGCGTTTCGGGGTTAAGTTTAGTTTATTATGCACCACATACCCATCCTGTGGGAGGTAGTGGACCCCATACCCATCATGTGGGCGGTAGTGGACCCCATACCCATCATGTGGGCGGTAGTGGACCCCATACCCATCCTGTGGGCGGTAGTGGACCCCATACCCATCCTGTGGGTGGTAGTGGACCCCATACCGATCCTGTGGGCGGTAATGGACCCCATACCCATCCTGTGGGCGGTAGTGGACCCCATACCCATCCTGTGGGTGGTAGTGGGCCCATACCCATCCTGTGGGTGGTAATGGACCCCATACCCATCCTGTGGGCGGTAGTGGACCCCATACCCATCCTGTGGGTGGTAGTGGGCCCCGTACCCATCCTGTGGGTGGTAGTGGGCCCATACCCATCCTGTGGGCGGTAGTGGACCCCATACCCATCCTGTGGGTGGTAATAGACCCCATACCCATCCTGTGGGTGGTAGTGGGCCCATATCCATCCTGTGGGTGGTAATTGACCCCATACCCATCCTGTGGGTGGTAGTGGGCCCCATACCCATCCTGTGGGTGGTAGTGGGCCCCATACCCATCCTGTGGGTGGTAGTGGGCCCAATACCCATCCTGTGGGCGGTAGTGGACCCCATACCCCATCCTGTGGGTGGTAGTGGACCCCATACCCATCTTATGGGTGGTTGTGGACCCCCATACCCATCCTATGGCAGTAGTGGACCCCATACCCATCCTTGCGAGTGAGTAGCAAAATTGTTTTCAGTGTCACAAAGGGTTCAGGTACTGGACCCCCAATGAGCTTTAAGCTAGGCAATTTACATTTGTAGTGAGCTACGGTTACATTTAACATTTTAATTTATAAACTAAGCCAGTTATAAATGTATAACTATTTATGAATAATTACAAAAAGTGGTATGGGATTTATCAACGTGCAGGGTAGGGAAAGTGGGAATGAACGCTGCACGCTCCTTTCATACGTTCATATGTATTGTATTGTATATGGAGGAAAACATGGTTTTCTTATTCTATGGAGGAGATAGTTTAGATCCATCCTCTCCAATATTTTGTAAAGTCAATTATAGAGGTGGAGCGGGAAGCATTCTCTTGATTAGGCTTAGGAATTGGAATGATGATACAGTTGGTCAAGGAGACAGAGTTCCCCAGTAATATAGCTCATATTATACATGGTACTGATGGAAACAAAAGTAATCTATATAAAAGAGAACGCTTGTCTATTTGTTCCAAGTTGGGGAAGAGGCGCTTAAGGGTAGCCTCACCAAACTTTGCAGGATAACTGGTGAAGGGCATAGAGGGTGGTGAAAGGTAGGGAAGGTGGGCAACGTGGTGACAGGGAAAAGCTGGAAGAAAAGAACACTGCTTTTCCCCAAAAAAAAACGGTAGGTTTTCTGAGGGAAGAAAACGTAGGTCTGGGAGATGCGTCTAACCGCCCAAGCTGCGCGGCAACGAGCCAGTTTATATAAGCCTCTTGCCCCCAGACTAGACGACCTCTGTTCTCTCACGCCGCAGCTGCCTCACTTACTACTTTATTGTTATGTATTACAGTCACTAATTATTTATCATTCACCCTAATTAGCTATTTGATACATTAAAATTATTGCGTATTATTATACTGTTTGTTATTATTATTATTATATATTATATAATAATAATAATTTATTTATTATTAATTTATTATTTATTAATTTATTATTTATTATCAATTTATTATTTATTATTATAAAATAAACAAGTCCCCACTCTGAGCGCGTTTTCTTCCAACCTCAGAAAATACCTATACTGCGACATTGCCTAAGAATCTTCATGAATTCCACAAAGGATCAGAAAAGGCAGATAGGTCCTTTAGAAGGTGAAGTATTCACATGTGTTACTTGTTTTAAGTAACACAACACAACCCCGAAGTGTATGAGAGAAGTCAAACCATGCAACACTACATGTATGTGAGTCAAAACACCCATTTCACTTATGGTAAAAGGAGAAATGCTTGGAGTGACTCTGTGTACATGCGGCTTAGGCTTGGGTACAAATATTACTGGGAATATGGGATAGGTGTTCATGATAATGACACGAAGTGTAAACTATGTGGTATGTTAAGGTCTCACACCCTTGCCCATTATGTTCTTGATTTCCGTTGATTAATGTATATAGAAACACTGAGATAAGGACTGTTCCTGAACAAATAGCCTGGATGTGTCACAACGGAAAGGTTGATGATATTCTTGAGAGATACAAGAATTTTGCACCAAGACTGTAATCTTTTGTTGAATTATCTGCATGTCTCTTGCAAATTGTCTATACAGTATAACTAGGTCATAAAAGTATTTGTGTGTACGTCTGATACCATACTACTTGTACTTGTATAAAGGAGGAAATGTATATGTTTATCTCTCAGAATGTAGGCGATGAGTCACAATAACGTGGCTAAAGTAAGTTGACCAGACCACACACTAGAAGGTAAAGGGACGACGACGTTTCGGTCCGTCCTGGGCCATTCTCAAGTCCAATGAGACTTGATTCAAGTCCATTCTCAAGTACCCTGGACTTGAGAATGGTCCAGGACGGACCGAAACGTCGTCGTCCCTTCACCTTCTAGTGTGTGGTCTGGTCATCTCTCAGAATGTTCGGTAATACGTTTATTGCTTGTGATGTGTGTCTATGTATGTAATAACACGATGTACTGAACGGGTTGAGAATAACTTGAGCTACCTCATCCCTTTGTGTGTATTTTACCTCAATAAACTTATTTCAATTTCAATTTCACCCCGAAGTGTAAAGGGGAGGACGAAGGAAAAAAATATATAATGGATTTGCTTTGTCACGGGCTTTTACCGAGTGCAATAAGTGATTAACTGCATCAATTCCTCACCCAATTTTGACCAGCTCTTCGCGGTGGTCATTCCAATGCCAGCTTTTGGATTTGGGGCAGAGTTGTTGTCCGTTATTCATAACGTAGTCACGGCTTGTGGGGTCAGCCTGGGCAGAGAGATGTGGACTGGCAGCCATGAGGGGTCCAGCTGGACGCTGTCTCCATGGCAACCAGGGTTGCCAGATCTCAATTGCTGAAAGTAGCGAGCTGACGGGCTAAAAGTAGCGGATTTGTAATAAGAGTAGCCCAATTTTTTTTAATGAATGATATGGGTTTCAAAGTAATATATTTTGATATATAGAGCACACTACACGATGTTAATTGTTTTATTAACAGTATTTACGTATATATACAGTATTAACAGTATATATATTGATTTTTTGCCGCCAGACGTGGATAGTTCATTAAGCATCCCATATTCAACCAGTGAGTAGTAGTTTGTTGTGCACCCCCGAACCCCGACCAGTTGTGTAAGCGAACCCCGACCAGTTGTGTAAGCGAACCCCGACCAGTTGTGTAAGCGGACCCCGACCAGTTGTGTAAGCGGACCCCGACCAGTTGTGTAAGCGGACCCCGACCAGTTGTGTAACTACAAGCCTTAGCATGAACGAGCCTAGCAACCCCCTTTACCTGGGTTTACATTTCGTATTATGTGATTTTGGCAACTGTTGCCATTTTTTATTTAATGCATTTAACTGAGATCAAGACAAATATATATTTCCAAATTAAATGTAAATTTCTTTACCTTAAAAGAATATAAATCAGGGGACCCAGATTGTGGAATGACCTTCCCAACCATGTTAAAGACTGTACCTCTCTCAACCAGTTTAAGATAAAAACGAAGCTATACCTAATAAATTCCCTGTAACCTACCTTACCCCTCTATTGTCAACCAATGTCTGTTTTTTTTTAAAGAGCGCTGTTTGTCGACAGAATTGTATTTGTGCTACTTTTTCAGCTATGTTTTCAGTTTTCATTTTACCCAGTATTAAGCTTTAATTTAAGTTTTTCATGCCCGAAACGCTTTGCGTAATAGTGGCTTTAGGCCTTATGTGGTATGTACCTTGGATTTGATAAGCCTAATATACATGCGCTGGCTTGTGTTCGCTATATATACACTTGAACTGGCTGTCTTTAATTTGGCACCTTTGTGGCACCTTTGTGGGACCTACACAATGATTGATTTATTATTACCTATTATTTTATCATTTAATTTAAATATTAAATAAAATAATTTATTTAATTATTATAGTAAGTACTTAATAATTTAATAATAAGTAGTAAGTACATAAAAATAATTAAAAAGTACAGTTTAGTCATAGATTCCTAAATTGGAATTCACTACCAAATTTCGATATATCCAAGTATTTTTAGTGTGAAATGCTGTTATTATATGCATAAATTGTTGTTTTAATAATATTACGCTTAACCACTTGGGCTGGACGGTAGAGCGACGGTCTCGTTTCCTACAGGTCCGCGTTCAATCCCAGACCGCCCAAGAGGTTGGGCACCATTCCTTTCCCCCGTTCCATCCCAAATCCGTATCCTGATCCCTTCCCAGTGCTATATAGTCGTAATGGCTTGGCGCTTTCACTTGATAGTTCCCCCACCCTTGAATAATATTACGAGAGCAGTATTTACGCGCTATTCATGCCCGTGCCACCTCTTGGGTGGCTTAATCTTCATCAATCGAGAGCAGTACGTCCTAACCAGACGTTATATGATGAATATCCTGAACAGTTGATAAATAAAAGTAATTGCGGAACTAAAGTTATCTAATACTTATCATAAATAGTATAAAACCTTATCAAAAGCCAAGGGATTTGTAGATCAGTGTTTAAAAAGGAATTCGGAAGTAATAATAAATAATACAGCTGATGCCATCTGTCGGCAGAAGAGAACACTATCAACTTTTTTTTTTTTTTTTTTTTTTTAGCAGGGATAATCCTGCGCGGGCCCTAAGCCTCTGGCTGGCCCACTAAGTGATGCTTGTTTCTGTTTTACTTGGGCGGAGGATGAGTATTCAAGACTCGTATGGTCGCTTCAGTAAGATTTTGCCATATGTGTTTAACAACTTCCTCTGCTCTGTTGAATCTAAGGTGAAATCTGAACGGGTTTGTAACTGTGCACACTGTTAGATAATGTTCCAGTGGTCTGTCGGGCATTTCTCCACAGTGTTGACATTTCTTCTCATCTTCCGGAACCTGTAAGCCTATTTCCCATGCACATGGGTATCCAAGCCTGATGCGATGTAAGTGCACTTCTGTTGTTCTACTGCCCCCTTTCATCAAACTAAGTGGTTCGTAGTTGGTTGAATTCTTGTACCAACCCGCAGATCCTGATGTTGCAACTGCTGTGGTGTGGTCACTGTACATCATTCGCATTGCTCTGTTTCGAATTACTTTCTTCATCTGTGATAGACTGTGTGGTATGTAAATGTCTACATTTATCCTCTTAGTAGCAAGTTTTGCAGCTTCGTCTGCAATGTCATTACCTAATAGTCCCACATGACTTGGCACCCAGTTGATAAGTACCCGTCGGCCTTGTCGTTTGAGTGTGTGCATGAATGATAAGACATTTGTGATCAGATGGATGTTATCACATATGTGTTCTTGTTGCAAGGTTTCAATGGCGGTTCTCGAATCTGTATGGATGATAACATGTTGTCGGTGTTCAGCAAGAACATGTTCCAAAGCCTTTTGAATGGCTAGCATCTCAGTTTGTAAAGTCGAACACCCATTTGAGAGCCTCCAACTATATACAGAGTTTCCTGCTGTAACTGCAGCTCCGGTTTCGTGTCCCTGCTGGTCCACTGACCCATCCGTGAAGTAAGTGAAGCTGTCGGATGCCATGTTTGCCTCTATATGCATCTGTGCAATGTTACGTAGCAGATGAGGATGTGTCTGGTTCTTCTTTCCTTCAAGAGCCATAATCTGAAAGTCTGCTGGCAGAGATTCCCAAGGGGCTTGTATAACAAAGTCTTCATGTATGTCGTCGACACCCCTCTCAGTGACTGTGTTTGCCATATCGAACGTATTGATGGTGTTTATCGCACAATGGGTCCACCTGTTGCCATTGGAGGCTCTTCTGTCCAGAGTTAGTGCTCCAGTGATTATATCTTTAAGTGAACTGATTCCAGGTCTAGTCAATATCTTGGTCAGCATGCACGCAGCAATCCCCTTTACCCTTATTTCAATCGACGTTAGCTTTGTTTCTAGTCTTAGGTTCAGTATTTTAGTCCATCTGGGAGCACCTGTTATGATTCGCAATGCATCATTTTGAAGAACCTCAACGTTTGCCCACTGACCAGGAGAAAGAGTGAGTAAGGCAGGTGCTGCATAATCAACCAGGGAACGAACGGCGTGTATGTAAAACATTCTCAACACTCTGTGTCCCGCTCCTAGACGGGGCCCTGTGATTGCTCTCATTATATTTATTCGTGACTTTGCTCTCTCCTTTAGATATTGAATTTGCTTATTGAATGTCATTTTAAAATCAATCCACACTCCGAGATATCGATATTGTGTAACCCACTGAAGGTTAATGTCCTGAATGCGTAGGTGCCTGTCTGGAGCCTTGCCACCTAGTCTCATCGCCTTAGACTTCTGTGCAGATATTTTTAGCCCTAAAACACTGCATTCAGATGTCACTTGATCTAAAGCACCTTGAGCTTTATTTAGAAGTGAAGGACCCGTAATGACTAATGCTAGATCATCAGCATAGCTTAGCAATGTAACCCCTTCTGTAAAGGTCATGGTAACAAGGTTTTCCATAAGGATGTTAAAAAGACTAGGACTGAGGACTCCTCCTTGTGGAGTCCCATTCTCGTGCAAGTGGTAGTCCGACACTTGTCCTTGCAACTTTACTCTGGCATACCTGTGACTTAGGTAATCTTGAATCCATGCTAGCATTTTCCCCTTCACACCTTTTTTAACTAAGGTGTGTAGTATTGCTGGCGGGCTTGCAAGTTCAAATGCTTTTTCTAGATCAAGGAAGACCACTATAGCTGGACCCGAGTTAACTGTTCCTAGTAATGTTGCTATGCAGTTGGCAGTACCTACACCTCTAGTGAAGCCAAATATGTGTTTATGAAGGTCTCCAGTCTTCCACAGTAGCCTATTTAAGACCATCCGTTCTGCAGTTTTACAAATGCATGATGTTAATGAAATGGGTCTGTAATTGCCAGGTTCATTCGGCTTAGGAATCGGTATGATGTCTGCTTTCTTCCAAGAGGTTGGTAGTTTGCCTTGCTGCCAAGATGCATTGATGACGTCCAATATTCCTCGTTCTCCAGCAGGACCTGCATGTGCGATCATTGAGTATGTAATGTTATCAGCACCTGGTGCAGTGTCCTTACCACCTTTTTTGGCTCTGCTTAGTTCCTGTTCGGTGAAGGGACAGTCACATTCGTCATTTATAGCTATGCCCTCATGAATGACTGTCATCCTCTCTTGTTTTAAGTGTTCTTGCTGCCTTCGGACCATTGCAGGAAGCTGATATGAAGCTGTTCTTTCTGCAAATTGGAGAGCAAGTCTCTCAGCCTCCTGCAATGGTTGAATACATGCCTGTGGCCGGGCTGGTCGACCTGATATAGTTTTAATCTGACCCCATATCTTGCCAAGACTACTATGTTCATTTAGAGTTTGACACCACTCAAACCATCTTGCCTCCTTTACTTCTCTAGAAACTCGTCTTGCTTCAGATACCACCGCTCGTAGCAGAGTTCTTCCTTCTGGTGTGGGGTTTCTCTTTAGATGTTTTCTGAAGATGTTGACTCTGTGGTTCTGTTCTTTAACTTCATTACTATAGAACCAATAGTTCTTTCGTTTCGTGTTACCTGTGATAATGATTGGAATAGCTGTGTTCGCAGCAGCTGCAACGGCTTCCTGCAGATTGGTCTCGTGTATGTTCAAATCCTCAGGTGGCGTGTACGTAGCATACCATTTTTCAAGTTCTTCTTGGTATACATTCCAATTGGCCTTTCCTAAATTCCACCGAGGCCGTGCAGGTGGTGTAGGAGGTCGTGCCAGGTTTAGTGTCGTGACAGTAGCATAGTGGTCACTGGTGATCACCGGGTCTACTTCCCACTTCGCCTGTTGCCGGAGTGCTGTTGAGATGAATGTAAG